TGTCATGTACGACCGAGATACCCCTGTCATGCACGACCGAGATACCCCTGTCATGCACGACCGAGATACCCATGTCATGCACGACCAAGATACCCATGTCATGCACGACCGAGATACCCCTGTCATGCACGACCGAGATACCCCTGTCATGCACAACCGAGATACCCCTGTCATGTACGACCGAGATACCCCTGTCATGCACGACCGGGATACCCATGTCATGTACGACCGAGATACCCCTGCCATGTACGACCGAGATACCCCTGTCATGCACGACCGAGATACCCCTGTCATGCACAACCGAGATACCCCTGTCATGCACGACCGAGATACCCCTGTCATGCACGACCGAGATACCCATGTCATGTACGACCGAGATACCCCTGTCATGCACGACCGAGATACCCCTGCCATGTACGACCAAGATACCCCTGTCATGCACGACCGAGATACCCCTGTCATGCACAACCGAGATACCCCTGTCATGCACAACCGAGATACCCCTGTCATGCACGACCGAGATACCCATGTCATGTACGACCGAGATATTTGGCCCGTCTTTCCAAGCTCTACACTACTGACACGTACTGGTTCGAAAAGACCATGGTAAGAATACTCTGTCAACTAAATACTCTGTTATATTGCCTCCCAATGCTTCTCTGCACCCAAGCTTTCAGTAAAAATGAGTTTTCAATCTGAAAGCACAACATTGAACTAGTTTTGGGATCAATTTGAACTGGTATTCAAGACAGTGAAAGTGCTTCAATTACACAATGGCACACCTTGTAGAGATAAGTTCAAAGAACAAACCATAGAAATTATTTTTGATGAAGAAACTCTAAGATTTGAGACACACAAGAAATTAAAGATTGGCTAAAGAAGAGTAAAGTATTGCAGCCAGGCGCACACTATTTACACAACGAGCATATAATTTAGGCAACTGAGTTAGCACACCGCCTGACATCTTTTGATGTTGTGGACACGATCGACTCTGTCTTGGATATTTTGGTCTGGTTTGATTAAATAACGTATTCTCTCAATAAGAGAGCCAGGTGTCGTCAGAATACGGTAAATGGCCACACCAGGAACCCACAAAATCGAAGCGGCAGCCAGACACCAGCCAATGACTTCGGCCCAGTCAGGATATCTGTTAAAAATAACACAACTTCATAATTGCTTTGAGTTAACACTAAAACTGTTCTTAACATGATCAAAAACCTTCATCTCATGTTAGTATAAAAAATGTTGGAGTATCAAAGATGTTCCATGAAAATTCAACAAAAATTCATCGTCGTTTGCATAAAAACGTCTTCATGACAGAATCGAATAAAATAGAATCTCCATTACAGAATAAAGTTTTATCAAATGTTAAAATCACGTTTGTTTATAACAAGGAAAATCTTAAGGGCAACAAGAAAGGTTAAACGTTTGCTAATTTCCCGGCGTTTTTCTGAAAAGAGCGATAAAACCACATGAAAAAAAATTCAACCAAAGAAATAAAAAATGTATAATGTTAATTAAATTCTTGCTCTTAACACTAATGATCTAATACATTTGCAATTCACAAAACATTATTTTGGAAAGGTACATACTTATATGTTCCATAATTTATCCCTGTCCACGTGGCCAGACTGAATATAAGTAGGCCTCCGATAAGAAGAGGAGACGCAAACTTCCAACAAAACTTCCACCAAACACTGGGCCTTTTACCGAGCATGAATTCCATGTCGTCAATAAATCTGCCAGCCCCATAGCCATAGGACAGTGTTAGAACTTCACATAGGGCAACGAAGAGCAGAGAAACACCTCCTGCTTGCCAGTTGAACAAATTTAGCACAAACATTCCTCCCTGCAAAAAGCGAATTTTTTGGTGTAGCTGTTTAGATAGCACAAAAAGCAGTTGGGCAGGTCAGGGAATTACGTTCCAGATATGGTTGCATTTGCTCAGTCAAATATGGGTAAATCGATTTATCATTCTCTCTGCATAGCTTAATTCTGTAGCCAGCAGTGGTCACCACCTGCTTTGAATTAGCTGCATGAAGAGTAGCTGTTTATAAAATTTGCGGATTTCAATAGGCCAGAAGGCTACGATACAAACTTGTCACTGAACAATTGCGTTGACATCATTGAAATATGAGAATGAGGCTTCTTATAGCTGGTCCAAGCCACATTTATGCAGACTGTGTTTAGTTCCAGGTAAAAGTAGTCGGCTTCTAGTCTGCCATAGAGTTTTTAAGTGATTGGGCCACAAAAAGTTTTAGAATTTAGATCCCTTAGCAAGAAAGAGCATCATGAACTACCTCTTAACGTGCAAAATCAGTCAAATGTGTTACGAATCGCCTGAGAAAAGGCCACATAAGCACAGGCTCTTTTGCCATAAAACCTCTGTAATTTGGTCTCTGTTTAAAAAAATTTATGAAAAGAGTCAAAATAACAAATCTTTAAAAATAACAAAGCAAATCTTTTAGTGGCCAAATTCAAAAAACTAAAAATAATATTTCACTCCAATACCGAATTTTACTGCTTAGCTGAGAGAGGCACAATTTGTGTTAACACTTTGACCAAGGTTGCTGTTCTTGAAAGGGGGAGTTGCTGCCCTCGAGCCAAACACCATTGGATATTGAGTTCTACACCTTAATCATTACAACGCAGAAACCACAAGCTCTAGTTGTTCTGCATGCACCAGAAAGCCATACACACAATTCTATTTCTTTACATTGAAGTTTTCTAACCTGTGTAACGAGTGGAAGCCCCAGCAGGAAGCATAAGAAACAAAGCAACCCTGTAAAGGCCGGTTTGTATTTGCGAAGGTATTTTGGATATTCGTCGGTGAGGCCAGTGATCACAGCTTCAAACATGGCGAATTGGGTGTCAAGGCCAATTGTGAGAATCATAAAGAAGAAAAGGAAAGCCCAAAGCGGGGAAATTGGCATTTGAGCAATTCCTTCTGGATATACCACGAACACGAGGCCCGGACCTGAAAAAAAATTTCAAATCGTATATCAAGGGCCATAAAACCTGACAATGAAAACGCAATGAATTCACCTTAAGTTTTTAGCTGAGATTTTCTGTCAACACTAAGGGTTTTTGAAAAAGAATTATCATTTTGGTACCTGAGGTGACAACATCCTCCACGTTTTTGCCAAGTTTGAAGGCCATATGACCAAGAACACAGAAGATAGTGAAGCCAGCAAAAACACTTGTTAAACAATTAATGAGCGATATAGAAACTGCATCTCTAGAAAGTAAATGAGTACAATAATAGAAAAGATAGTTCAAAACATCAAAATGCGTGAAATGCATAAACATAAGAGTCTAAGATATTTGTGTAAAAACAGCAAAACTTTTATGTATTAAATAGCTTTCTTTAAAATGTTATTGTGTTTTGCTCTATACGCAAAATTAATCCATCTGCACACCATCCTGATATCTTCTCCGTTAGAATTTGACTTGTAACATTAGATCAACATCCTCAGCGTCTATAAAGAGGTTTATCGCCTATATTCTAAATTGTATTTCGATTCATTGCGTTTAGGGACATCCGCAAATATTGACTTGCATATGCCTGGGGCCACAGCATCTTGTCTTGTCACTTATCAATATTGTCACTGCATATATTTGCACTAAGTCAATCTAAACACGCAAAATTGTCCGACAAAGTCACTTCTTCACGGCAATCACATGAGCCTTGTTGTATTCTACTGTAAATGGTTTCAACAGAACTAGCAAACTAAAGAACAAAACAGAAAATCGACATATCGATGTACTAATCAACCAGAAATATCAAACAAATACAAATCTTTTGGAAAACGGTTTTGCCAAGGAGACATTATACAGTAGCTAAGTGGCGACATGAAAAGCTATATTTTCATAAATTTGGATATTTTTTATCAAAATCTGGAAACTACCATACGATACATCAAAATCCATGAATTATTGTCAATTGGCAACGTCATGGGTATGAAACGGTCATCAAAAGACATTTTAGGGAAAAATTGTTATTGTCTTGGCGTTGCTCGTAAATTCAAGAACGAAGGCCGAAGTACAGTTAAAAGGAAAGGACCTGTTCAATTCGATTATACCACCTGAAATTTCGATAGAATTAACTGATACCATTCACTCTTGTTTCGTAATTCTGTGTTAATTTATTCTATTGTTTTCTAGTCATTGTTCACTGATAACCAGTTTCTAATACTATCTTATACGTATATCAAAATCTATATAAAAAAACACTGAAAAATAAGCAAAAACATCAACAAGTTACACTGGCACAGGTACACGTCGGATTGGTTTTTAAACAGGATAGGAGTTTCACTGAAGCAGTGCTGGGGCAACCCGAAGAACTTCGCATCGCCAAACTGGAGGGAAAGTCATTCCACCATGGAAATGCAATCCAATCTAAGTACTTCGCCTCTTTTTCATTGCAAAACTGTTCAATCCAGAGCCCCGCTCCTAATAAAGCCGCCTCGTTTCCATTTTGTGTATGAAATGACAGCAGTTCTCCCAGAAAGCATTAACACTTTCAGAGGAATAGGGAGGATACTCGGGGGGTACCTTAACATATTTGAAGGTACAGGAAATTATCGGTATCAGTTTTTGAAATATGTGCGGAACTATGGGTACCATTTGAAGAAACATGCAGAATTATGGGTACCATTTTGGAAAATATTGCAAAATTACTAGGAGGGATATTTAGCATTAACAAAATGAATGACCAGTTAGAAATAAAACTATGAAATCTGTGTAATATTGAGATTTTGGAGCAAAGGACATGCAAAATTTGTATAACGATTTTCATGCGCTTTAAAAATTTTATTTGCTTTGCGTAATTATGGGTATAGTTTTCATCTTGTTTGCGGAATTATGGGTCACATGTTTTCAGACATTTGCGGAATTATGGGTCCCAATTTTTAACCAAAAAGGCACGTCCCAATTTTTAACCAAAACGGCACGTCCCAATTTTTAACCAAAAAGGCACGTCCCAATTTTTAACCAAAAAGGCACGTCCCAATTTTTAACCAAAAAGGCACGTCCCAATTTTTAACCAAAAAGGCACGTCCCAATTTTTAACCAAAAAGGCACGTCCCAATTTTTAACCAAAAAGGCACGTCCCAATTTTTAACCAAAACGGCACGTCCCAATTTTTAACCAAAAAGGCACGTCCCAATTTTTAACCAAAACGGCACGTCCCAATTTTTAACCAAAAAGGCACGTCCCAATTTTTAACCAAAAAGGCACGTCCCAATTTTTAACCAAAATGACACGTCCCAATTTTTAACCAAAAAGGCACGTCCCAATTTTTAACCAAAAAGGCACGTCCCAATTTTTAACCAAAAAGGCACGTCCCAATTTTTAACCAAAAAGGCACGTCCAAATTTTTAACCAAAAAGGCACGTCCCAATTTTTAAACAAAAAGGCACGTCCCAATTTTTAACCAAAAAGGCACGTCCCAATTTTTAACCAAAAAGGCACGTCCCTGTCAACAATTAGGCTTAGTCAATTTCTAACCCTAACCCTAACCCCCGAGGGGAAGAACATCTTTATTTTGGCGAAATTCTTTCTCGATACAGAAATTCTTTTCTATTTCATCTTATCGAAAAGATTCCTAGCTTATAGCACCGTGTATTAAGAGAACTAAACAAAATTCAATTCTCAATGTTATTTTAGCAATGTAATTTGACGATTGAATTTAAGCTAGTATGGCTTTAGTGATATCGCGCAAAAAGTGCGGTTGTCGGTTGTCGGTTGTCGGAGAGAGTTCCTTCACTTTTAAGGCATACAAGGATTATTTTGTCACCGACCATAGCTACTGTTGGCTTGCGAAATGGAGGAGATTCTAGCCAACATCTCAAAACCGAAATTCTAACATCTCCTGTTGGTGAGAGCAGTCCTAAATGGAGACCAATCTAACGCCATGCAATCCAATTCCTTTTAGCATCACGTTAGTTCCAAGGATAAATAAGATTAAGATACTCAGAGAAACAATAAAATAATCAGACAAACGTTTCCATTAAATTCTGAATGGCAAAGTGAGTCTCTTACCTTATGCAGTTATTTTCGAATTTGTTATAGCTGCCAAACGTTATCAGGGATCCGAAGCCAATGCCGAGAGAGTAACAGATTTGAGTAGCTGCTTGCACCCAAACATTGGCGTCCAACAATTTTGAAAAGTTTGGTTTCAAATAGAAGGAAACGCCTTTAGATGCACCTTCTAGAGTGGCTCCTCTGATGAGAAGAACAAACATGAGGAAGTACGGAAATGTCGCTGTGAAATAGACAACCTGCAAGAAAACAAAACGCTTTTTATTTCAAGAAACATTTCATTCAGAGTTACTTATACAGGGAAGCTTTCATCTAGCCACGAGTCAGAACCCGGCCTCGACATAGTCCCTGTCATAGACGAAATTGATGAAATAAGCCACCAGCCTCAACAATTCCATTTGCGTTATCGAATTATAGGTTCTAGAGTACGTGAACTAATCTATGAAGCTGTAGTGATATATAATGTTGCTGTCGATACCCAGTGATTGCCCGGCCCTACAATTTACGTGTAGCTGGAAAGCGATGGATTATATCAAATTAAAACTTAGTTCAAGAAGTCCCTTTCCCTCTCGCTATACCTATTCTTAATTTATGCAAGTATCGGCACCCTAACCTAGCCTGATTCATTGTCGACAATTATTTTCATTTGCCCTAAAAGTGCATGGTCAGCTGAAGTTTCTGAGCCATGGCAGGATGAGCTAGTTGTCACAAAACTACGAGTGCCATTGAATACACTGATCTGATTGGCTGAAACTCTGCACTGAAATTTAGTTGATTTGTTAAGCACTGAAGAGTAAATTTTGGATTTAGCCAAGTTGTTCAGTTACAATTGAGCTTACCTGAAACCGCGGCCTTTAAAAAATTTACTTCGTCCATTGGCTATAAAGATTTCATGCAGGGAAGCTAGTTAAATCTACATGTTTACGGAAGGATAATATAATAAGAATAGCAAATTGATAGAATTTGAATGAAATATAAATCAGAAATACCTTTCCAGATGATTTGATGCCTTTAAAAAGACAAAGGTAAACCAAAACCCAGCCAATGATCAAACAGAACACCAACTCGACTCTCATTTCTCCCATATCGCCAATACTTTCTGTGATTTGCAGCACATAGCGTTCCCAGAATTCTTTGCTAGGTGAATTAACATTATCCAGATTTACAGAACAGGTTGTTGTGACATTAGACGTCAGGTTAACTGCATTTGTGATGGTATCGTTTTCAAGGAACGATGTCAGTGGCGCTACAGTTGATAATGCGTCGCTGCTGCTTGCTGTCCAGTTACTTGACTGGGTCGAGTTTAGCTGGGGCTTGCAGTTCTTTGCATCTTAGAGATAAATATATAACTCAATAACTATTTTATTAAGATGCATCAAGAAAAAATAAGAGAAACAGAATGTTTTTGTTTTGTCATAAACAAAAAGCGGTTTTTGAGGCCCACTGTCCCGCTTTCAAGAATATCTTTCTGATGCTTGGCCAGAAAGTTGACCAAGTGTTGGTTGGCAAAAAAAGAAAAAGAAAAAGAAAATTGACTTACTATCCCTAAACGCTTTGAAGTCTTGAACGCAGTTTTTTGTGTTCCACCAATTGTTGCAGTGTCTCCAAGGCACATCGAGCTTCAATGATTCATACATATAGTAGAGCACGTAGGCTACTAGCACATTGTAGTATATGGTACATAGAAAGGAGATCATTAAAACACCAAACCCAACACCTGAAACAGACATTTCAACATTAAGTATTCGAGTAACAACGATACATTACAGTGGGATAACACTTTCAAGAACAAGAAAAGAGAGAAGAATCATGTAAGCCACAAGTCAGATCATCAAAAGCCGCCTACAAAGTCGACAGAGAGATCTCTGCAAAACGGAAGGAGTTCCTTTCAAGTTCTTCAAATTAAATTAGAAAATAAAGTTGAGATATTTCATATTCGACATATAATAAGCCGCGGCTTATAATTATATTGACACGATTTGCTCACTGATCAGTGGATTTGCTGCGATTTATAATAAAGGGCGGCGCATAAACGAGGGCGGCGCATAAACGAGGCTGGCTCACATTGCTTTACTTTGATCTTTCATAGATCTTTACCTAGATCTTGCCTAGCCTGCACAGGCTAGATCTTGCCAAGCTTTCCTACTACCTCGAATCTGAAGATGAAAAGGTAGAAGGTGAGGAAGAAATGCTTCTAGACGATATTGATGATCTTAAATCTGTTCGATATTTTTTTGGTTGAACTTTTAGCGTCTATTTTATGGTTAAAGTACCAAATCAGGTTTTATCAATTTTTGGTCGTCTTTTAAAAACAAATATCTCTGCACAAGAAATGTATTGAAAATGCATATTTTTCTGGGAAAGGCGAGACTGGAACTATGACAGCTAACAATTCAGTTGGGACATAAATGTAGACGCTACTGACAATAGCTTTTGATCGGCAATTGTGGAAGTTGAGCAATAGAGTTATCTAAAATGGAGACCGCATGAAGTCTTTTCATAAACAACAACCTAATGCTTTTTTGAAATACTTTCAAAACAACACATTTTCTTTTCACTATTCAAATTGTGGCTTTGCTTCTCTCTATGACAAGGTTTGTAGCCTTCTGGGGGTATTCAACATTGGAAAATGAAGAATTGTTTTAGCGTGGCAATAATTTTGGTTAGCTCGATCATTGTAAGATAAACATATCAGTTTGACCTTTTTCATGAAACATTCACGCGAGCCTTTTCAACATACTTCTTCATATTTCATTGGCCTGCAAATGTCTTTTTATATTGCCTGCTTGAGGCCAAAGAAATTGAAACCCCTTTGCACTGCGAACTTCCCGTAGACCCATCCTAGAACACTATAATTTACAAACAAAAAGTTATTTGGGTAAATCTCTCTTTACTGCTTCAGGACTGAATTTGTGGGGCCCCACGTGACATATATGTCACAATATTTTGTAAACAGTTGTACTTATTGTTTTTGGAAATCCTTGGTATATTCTTGATCACAAGAGCCCAGTGTGAAATCTTAAGCACACAACAACAACCATCTCCAGACCTGCCAACCTCCCAAACTTAAAAACTTGGATATTCGAAATTTTTCTTTATTAAAACCTGGAGATTTTGCTAAAAACCTGAAGATTTTACGTCGCGAACTTTTTCACCAAAAATAGCAAGATTTACCCATACACTCATTGCTGTTACTGTAAAACTGTATCCTGTATACTATAACTTAAACAGTTTTCACACACATTTCCTGTTATAGTTCGAAGTTGCTTTTTTCGCATTCTTCAAAACTTCTTCTGGTTCTTGGAATCAGTGGTTCTCCTTTGCATGCAAACATAGGAGCTAGAAGCGGGACATGGGGCCGAGGGAGTTATTCTAAGCCAACCAGCGATGTCAGCAGCGCTGTGATGTGATTCAAGAACGATAACACAGAAGAGGAAAATTGTACATAAAATCGTGCATAAAATTTGCAGGGGAAAAGCTGAATAAAATCTAAACATCTTGAAAATCGCTGCATTGGTAAATTGAAAATAAGTTTTTGAAAAACCGTGTGAAATGAACAAAAATTCGTGTGAACGTGAGATTGAGGCCAAAACCGTGAAACACACGGCAAAACCGATGGGATCTAATCAAAAATGGCCGAATTCTAATGATATCTGACAAAGTGCTACAAATAGAGGTCGCAATTCCAAACATATTAGGTAACTATAACCCATCATTCTGTTATATTACTAATTTTTAGATTATAGAGGATGCATTTGCTGCCAATTATATGCAAAGACAGTGTTACTTGCACGGAAGTATCTGTAACAGAAGCATGTGTTACATATATATATGTCACTTTGGGTTTAGGCCTACTCAGAAGTTAATACCTCTACAAGAGCATCATTTATAAGTACTGAAGATTATAGATTGGATTTCTTTGCAACACAGCCACTCATAGCCATAAAATAGCCTTGCAATTTCTTATAAATAAAAAAGAATATTTTGTAAATACAATCATTTGACTGTAATAGTCTGTGCAAAGACTTGACTAAAAAATGCAACAAGCACTCAGTTGGTATGATTTTCTAAAAAAATGTTCATTCCTGTTATTTCTATTATATCTAAGATCTATCTGGCATTGACAGAAGATATTTAGCAGCATGGCTGAAAAATTTATAGGATTGAAGGATGCATTGCAGTTCACTCTGATAGCATGGATATTGAAAGTGATAATCGCAAGGCAAGAAAAGCATGCATAGTCACACCAGAGCAACAAGAGCCAAAATCAGATTCCTCATGCTGTCTTGGGAAATGATGAAGGTATAAGTTCAGATGTAGATGTTCAGCAGCATTTTACCACAGCCAGCCAATCAATAAAACAGAAGAGAAACTATTTTTCAGGTGGTATCTAAAGGCTGTCAGGTGGTATGCCACAAGAGCTGTAACATTGTTGTCAACATATTTAGGACCAGAGCCATTTGATAAAGTCAGGAGGTGGGATGAGTCTAGAAAGGGGTTCATTGAAGTTGAAAGGCCACTCATAGTTTCAGAATACAATCTCTCCATGGGTGGTGTAGATTTGCTGGAATCATTTTTAGCCAAATACAGATATCCAATGAAATCAAAAAGATGATATCTATATCTATTTTGGCACACTCTAAAGATAGGGTTAATAAATGCTTGGTTGCTCTCCCGAGATTGTGAATTACTTGGAATACCAACAAAACATGTGATGAATCCCAGGCAGTTTCAAGCACTGGTAACAACATCTCTAATTTATGCCAACAATGGAACAAAGAGCACCCAAGCCCCAACACAACCCAAGCAAATTTCAAAAGTTCCAGCAATGGATGTCCAAAAAAATGATCTGGCACACTGGCCTATAAAAGTGGAAAAAAGAGGGTGCTGCAAAGATAATAACACTGATACTTCTTATGAAAAGTGTAAAGTACGGCTCTGTTTTAGAGAGAACCGAAACTGTTTCAGGCAGTTCCATAAAAAAATGAACTGTTTTCTCCAAAGAGAAGTGATCAAAAATGGTCAGCTCTATGATCAAATGTGGAACCCACAGACCTCCTTGATAAGTGTGAATTTCAAGTTTTTTATGAGGAGCAAGTTTTGCTGATATAGAAAAATTCTGTGTTATCAATTGCAATGCTCTAGGAATTCACCAAGTAGCAAACTTCCAACAAGAAGGATGAAATTTTACAGACCTGGAAAACAAAGTGTGGAAACAGGGTTTTTGCTTTAGAATTGTACTTTACATGTTTTTTAAACGAACAGAATTGAAGATCATGCCTCTTTAAAAGGTCCACTTGGTCCCTATTATAGACCTGGCTAATCAAAGAATAATAGAAACATAATAAATTGGCAGGTGTTATGACTTTGAGATCTTCCAAATAAGGAACCTGTTTTATGTTTTTCAACTTCTTACTGCTGCCAGTCAAACCCAATGTTACATATATGTAACAAAGAAGAACAACATGACAAAGAGGTCAAATTTGAAAAAACAAAAGTTTTTCATTCTTTGTGCTGTATGCTAAGGGTGCTTGGGTTCCAGAGGGTTGACTGCTTCAAGTCCGCCCAGTAGAACGAAAGCGTGTTGTGAGAAACAAAGATGATTTCCTTTACCTTAAAAGAAAAAAATTCTATTGAATTCCAACATCATGTGCAAATGTCCATACATCCTACGATTCTAGAACTTTTGAAAAGTTCAAAACACCATAACAATGTTGTATGACAATGAACATTGTCATCATTGGCCACGAATCGTCATTTTAAAATTAATTGTCATTTTACCAACGACTAGAAACTGAAGGATACGTTTGTCCTTTTGTTGATAAAGATTTTTAATACGTTGAACCAATAAAACAAAAAAGAACCAGAAAATGATCTCAGGACTTATCTGTTAAAGCCCATGCACAATCTGTTTAATCCTAAAGGAACACCCTCAAGGAATATGGGTATAGAAAACATTTTAAGCGACAAGTTAAAAAACCTAATTTGCTACACGTTGAAGTAGAACTTAATTCAACTCAGCCTAATTTTGGACGGGGACGTGCCACTTTGGTTATAAATTACGACCCTGAGTTTCACACGTGTTTAAAAAATGTGAGTCATAATTCCGCAAACATGATAAAACTATCTCTATAATTCCGTAAAGCAAATAACATTTTTAAAGTACAACAAAATCACCAAACCAATTTTGCATGTCCTTTGCCAAAAATCTCAATTTTTCACATATTTCATACTTTCATTTTGCAATATTTCCGCACTTTTTCAGAAAAAATTCCCCATACCTTCAAACATGTTCAGGTACCCCCCCCCCTCCCCCGAATTAATCTAATGATTTAATTTAGCTTTGTAGTTGCAAATATCTCTTACATTGAGGGAGTTTACTTCTGCATCAACCTATCATAAAACCAACGTTAAAGAAGGTGTGCTGAATGGGGCAGTTCTTGGCTGAATGTGATCCTTGCATTGAGAACGGAGCGTCATTTAATTAGGTTAGCGTCGACGTCGAGTTGTTGTCGAACAGGTCGAGCCGTGAATTTAAATGGAGAATCTTCCAACAATTCGTGTCATATTGCAACGGAATACCTGATCATGTTTGAAGGTACTTTTCTTTTTGTGAATGGCTAATCTTACATTTAAAATTTAAACATCCAAGATTTAATTTTTTTGTCTTTTGAAGCCATTGGCTTTAGCTGGATTAAAGTTTTGGTGACAGTTATTGAAGAATCACCTTTGGTAAAGTCGAGTTCAGGGTTATACATGTCAAGCACAGCAAACGATTCTAATTCTTTTCTTAACAAAAGTTCGGTGCTTCTCAGCAATCTTTCTCGTGGCTAAAGGCGTGCATAAACAATACTGGTAGCAAGCACGAGTAAAGAGCCCATGACACTGATCTACCTGCCGTAAAACAAACAGAAACTGCTCACGATGTAGGTGACACCTTTGTGCATAGGCCAACGATCATGGGGTATCTTTACCAAGAGTAACGTAGGCATGGCCTCCTCTCCACTATATTACGTATTATGCATAAATTTGATAGTCTACCGACATAGTTGGTGAGCATATCACAACAGTAATCACGTTAGGAAATTTCTGACATAAAAGGATTAATAATGATTTCTTCATAAAACAAATTCAAAAAAGGAAGATTTTCTCAACAATCAACTTCATAACAACAAAGAATTTTTAAAAAATATCAAAAATGATTCCATCTCCATTCTCTTGATGAAACTGAGTACAAAACGAACCAGTTTTTAATCTCGGTAGAAAGGAAATGTTGGACGGAGACATGCAAGGAATTTTTGCCTAAGGGGCAATCGAAAACTAGAGAACATTTTGCATAGCAAACAGTGCAACAGCGCCCTCTCTTTTGGCCGTAACACATATGCCCGGCCGTTTACCACCTTACAATGTTACCCCTCCATAATTGCTTACTTCATCGCCGATGGGTGTTTACTTAACCACATACAAAAAGTGAATTACACTATCCTTATCAACATGGTGAGATTCTTGTATAATCACCTATAGACAATAGATGCAAAATTTGCAACGAAGACGAACTAAGTTTTTGCAGTGATGAAACAGAGGAGAGTTCGTCTCAGTTCCACAGTTTTCCAACTGGTCACAAATATGTTTTAGCCAGGCAATTTGTGCATTTCTGAATGGTTCCTTCAAACTGCGGTTTCTGAAACTGACCTCTCCTTTTGCCGACTCTAAGCCAGCGTTATCACGAGGCAAACACGTTTTAAAATCCCAATCTTTGTACCACTTTGCCTTCAGAAACAACAAAAAAGTTCAAAAAAATCTGATTCTGTGTCCTTGTTTACGATCCTCGCTGCCACAGCTGCATGTATCATCACTGAATTGCAAAGAAGAACAGCAATTAGCCCCCAGTTTGGTGGACACTTCCTTACCTAAAGATTCAAATGTCCATCTGGTTTGAAAAAGAAACGAAAAATTTCGAAGTGTCCGAGTTTGCCTGGCAAAATTGGCACTGGAAAGCACTTTTTACACTTTTGAGTGTTCTTTTTAACCAAGGGGCTGTATACGCCACTTTGCTTTTATAAGATGGCACTTTATTATCCCCTGTATAAATATTCGAAAATAATAATAATAATTATACGAGCACCATGGCTCGATTGGCTATTCAATATTCTTAATATTTACTCTCTGCTAGTGAAACTTAGCAGATTTTATTCGTTTATCAAAAGTCATGGGAAACTATTATTAAGTGGTCTTAGAAACAATTCATAAATCGATTTGTAGAAAAACCAGGATTCAAACTAGAATACATTAAGAACAATTGAGCCTCAATTTTTTAAAAATTTAAGGTCATGGAGCCTCGACAGAAATAATATGGTTCTTACACAAGAAAAGGATGTTCATGACAACTTTCAATCGGCAAAGTTGCCTTGCCCTGTGAATTCATAGCAACTGTGATTCACTATCATAAGAAAAACTTTCAAGTATGGTACACGATCTGGCTCAGTTCAGTTTACCGGGCGATCTCGGGTTCTGTGCAGAATATGTGCTTATTGCTTTGGTCTGGCGCTAGGCGGGAAACTCTTCGGATTATTAAAAAAGATGTGACAGATCGAGCTGATTCAGCCCTTGGGTGCAGGACTGAAAAGTTATGATACAATCAGCCCCTGACAGTCACTTTTGTGTCCATTCATAAAAGGCCACGTAGTTACGAAAAAGGTTTAAAAGGGCGATTTAACAGAACTTCATCAACACTATAAATAAGTAGGAGTTACAGATACGAAATCATGACACTGAAAGCTTTCTTTTATGCGTTTTTTTGGATAAGGTTGGGCAGCGAAGGAATCCCTTTGCAACGGTCTGTTTTCTTTGTCATGGGAAAACGTAACAATTAACAAATTTGAGTAACTCATAGTCTGGAGACAGGTCGGCTTGTTGGGCGACTGGGGACACGCGGAAGTTTGGGTAGTTCGAATGAATTCGATTTTAAATTCGACTTAGAGTAGGAAAAGCAACTAATATATTATTCAACTAGACGACACGTAACTAGCCGTAATTTTGAGCTTTCCTGTGTTGCTTGCTTTCAATTTCTCTATAAAATGAACCCTTTAAACTGCCACGGTTAAAAAATAAATTCATTTGCTTTAGACTAATTTTGATTTCTTAGTTTAAAAGAATTGAAAAGTTAAAAAAACTAGAATCATCTCAGTGCAATATTTGCCAATATCGATTAACATTTTCGCTATCTATTTGTGTAAATAAAGTTGATGTAAGCATATGTTGGAGACATTTTACTAAAACTTTGAGCAGGTTACTTTGCATTAATCCCATTCAAACGAGCTCTCTTTTAATGAAATTGTCAAAGCGTCCAAATTTTACGTTCAACGGCGAATCGCATGATGAATTTCATAACGGTAGCCAAGCCCTTCAATAGGCCTTTTAGTGCCGGTCCAATTGGCTTCATTGCTCTAGGATTTGTCTCCAGTATTCTTCGCGCGTTTATGCACGACATAATCCCTGAGTAAAGCCGAATACTTGTAACAAATAGAAATCCAGAATCCTTCTTAACAACGAATCTGACAAATGGCGAACAATAATTGCCGTGGATCGGTGAAAAAGATGCCATTCTTCTAATAAAAGCTAATCTACTTTGTGATGGAAAGTCCCTGCCTGCTTGCCTGACAACAGTGTTGAAAGTTTTAGACAATATCATCTTCGTAAATCGATTGCCTGCGAGTCATTTGCCGGAGTGTAATTCAAATAAGTGAAAAGCAAATTTATTTTGAAACAGAAAACTTCGTTGCAGTTGTCGCTAAACATTTCATTTCGATAATTGCAGACTACGGAAAGGGGAATGTAGCCAATTTCTACAGCCAAACACTGAGATATCAGTTTTAGGGTACCCAAATACAAACTCAAACATGCAGCTTTACATTCGAAGCAAAAGCGCAAATATTGATTTTCGTAAGGATTCTGAGCAACTTGCTATTAGAATCTTTTTATGGAAACCTTACCAAAGGTCTACATAGAATTTACAAAAAAACTGGAAAATGTAACGAAATGCGGATTGTCCTTGAGCACGTGTTTGCATAGTGTTTACATTTGGCCTAAATAATTCCACACGCTTTGGCTGTCGCCCGTGAGCGGTGGATGCTGAAAATGGCGCTATCCTCACCCATAAGTAGTTTTGATGATCCGAGTTGAGAAGACAGCTAGGGTTTCAGATTTAACAAATACTTTTACGTTTCTCATCTACTAAATAAAAAAGTTTCAAATACGTTTTGAAATTACTGTTGTCATGCTTTCAATCCAGATAGAATGATAAACTGACGGGAAATAACTTAAAAATGGAAATGGTTCAATTACCTTTGGCTATGGGGCACAGAGCACTCCATGATGTCACTGGGCCCAGACTGAAATATTGGCCTATTGAGAGTTCCATACAAAACAACGGCATGCCGCACAATAAAAGCATTGTAAAATACGGAACGAGGAAAGCGCCACCACCATTTTGAAAGGCCAGATATGGAAACCTCCAGACATTGCCCAAGCCAACAGCGTATCCTATCGATGCAAGAATGAATTCAATTTTTTTACTCCATGTTTCGCGTTCAGGGATTTGCTCATCTGAATTGAGTAGTCCCATATGTCCATTCTCTTGCGTTTCAGCGGCGTCGTCATTTTTGACTTCTTTCAAGGAGACTTTACTCAACTGGACCGCTTCCGAGTTTGATTTAAGAGGTGCATCAATTGCCTTGTTGGTCTGATTGCCCATTCTAAAAGATGTGATATTTATACTTATGGTAATATATACCCCGAAAATCAAGGACTATATGATCAAGCTACCATTCACCGTGTTTCTCCATGACTCCTACATAAGAGGTCGAGGACATCCGAAGCATATTAAGCGCCTTAGCTTCAAAAACTCATAAAATATTAATTAGTATGGTGCATTCGATGGATGCAATATCTTTTTAGTAAACTCACGATCCTTTAGACATCACCTGCTATACTTCCCTGAACGGCTATTCGCGTTTCACAATAATCGCACCTCTCTACAGATAGCAGTATGATATTTCTTTTGTCTCAATCACGTGGTCACCTGACCGCAAACAGCGCAAGTAAATTAGCCTCGATTCCGATAATTTCATTCATCCTTCAAAAACTACGAAACCCCTGTCTTATTTAGCTGTGTCAAATTTCCGTTTGAGGGCACATTTTAGTAAATTATGATGTTAAAAAATGATAACTAAACTATACAGAAGTGAAGTATATGGCTTGTTTAGTAGATCGAGAATAGTCCTAGCCATCCCGTAATAGATTAAAACCCACTAAAGTATATACTAAGAACTTAATTCATCACTATAAAATGCTTTAGCTACAATCAGGGTCGTCACGTGAGGCGGGGGAAAATGGATTGTAGTTCACTCCCCCCCCCCCCTCAACAACGCAAATGGGACTCTCTCGCGGGGCATAACTGATTTTTTCTACCAATAGATCTGGTTTGTTGTTTTTCTTATATAATTGTAGCAGAAAGTACGTTACACTTATCTTTTTAATAAAAAACTGGCTATAAGAAATGAGATCTGAACAGTAACAAAAATTAAGGAACTTCAGTACTGGAAGGACAAAAATTAAGAAACCATTAAATCGTGATAAATCTGAGAACAACGAAATTTTGTAAAACCCAAGAACATGATTGCCCTGAAACGCAAGGGATGAAAATATACTTCCTACATCTAAATACAGCATCAAAACGGAAATGAATCTCTTGACGTGATAAAAAAGGTCATGACATCATAATTAAGAAACTCTTAAGAAACAATGAGTATTGAAATTTCCAGAACATTAAGAAACTTTAGTACTCAACATCGACCTTTGCTTCTTATAAAAAAATGAGTGTATGATTGGAATTGTCTGTTACAAAATTAAAATGATACAGACGACCAGTGACGCTAAATAGGCATTGCCTTTTTTTAGCAACAAATCAATTAATTACAAGATACGTCATGTTAGTTGTTAAGATAAAATAATTAATAACAATAAAGATTACATTACAGGGAACAACATAAGATATTATATAAGATCAGCTGATGGACACATGGAAAAAACTCATGAAGGAGCTATCAGAGCCATGTGCCCAATTTGACGCGATATAATTTAAAATTAGTTTTGTGCGAATAATAACAGTAAGAATAAAAAACAATTTAAAAAAGAAAAAGCACAAATCAAATAATAATGGTTTAAAATATGCACAAATAATTTAATTATGCTAGAATGGGAATAAATAGGATTAAAGGTTTTCTAGGAGGTAATTTTCCATGTTTCTTTTTAGTGGCAGCATTTTTCAAAACTAGAGGTAAAGAATTCCATAATTTAACACCATCAAATTTAAGGAAGTTTTTTTTAAAATTTGTGAAAATCAATTGAAGAGAAAAACCAAGGCTAGAAGATTGTCTGGTATTGTAATGATGAAGATTTTTTGTTTTTAGAAATTCTGCTCCTAAAGTAGAGGAGCTAGCATCTTTATTTTGATCTATTTGGAACATTATAAGAATCATTTTAGTTACTTTCATCGAGATTAGCTATTGTATCGTTGACCACCTTCGGGGCTACTGGGTGAAACATGCAATTTACATTTGGATTTGTCAAATAATCATTAAAATCCTTTATAGATGGCTTCATCTTTTCAATTAGTTTCTGTGCAACTGAAATGAAATAATGATTAAATGAATTAGCGACCATGTTGTTATCAGATGTAAATGTTCCATTTATCAGTAAATTATGTTTTAGGTTATAACTATTATTGTTTGTTGCATTTATTAATTTTTCATTCAAGACCAGAGTTTCTTGCTATTCTTTTGATATTTTTCGAAATATGCACTAAAGTAGGTCTTTATCCTTTTTCTTATAAGGTGGTTAATTTAATCTCTGTAGTTCTTATATTTTTTAAATATACAGGGTTTTTCGTTTTTAGAAATTTCTTATAATATCTATATTTAATTGAGATGGATTTTAAAATTCCTTTGGTGATCCCAGGTTTTAACTTTTGTTTATGTGCTTTCTTTGATACTGATTTTAAGGGGACGTGTTTATTAATTGTGTTGAGCAAGTTTTCATGAAATAAATCGAGCATCCTTTATTTGCCGAAAAGTTTGAAAGTTCACGAAAGAAGCACCCCTAAATGGCAAAAAACTCCTCGTTTTTAAATGATACATTTATAACTTGTTAGGGTTTGTGAATCAGCTGTGTTGCGTGATGTATCTGTGATCAATCGTTATCTTGTTGTCAGGTATGGGGTCATCCATGAAGTACGTACGCACTCAGGGGGAGGGGGGGAGTCGATCAAAAATCGTACGCTTGCATACAAGGGGGAGGGGTGTAATGGGTATTTAGTACGTACGCTTAAGAAATTCCTAAACGTGAAATTTGCGCCTTGCAAGCTTGCTCATTCATTGTTCATATGGCAGCGATTTTAATGGGAAGTTTGTTGCATATTTTCATCCTACCTAAAATCTGCTCTGTTTGATGAACTTCCGATAAAAACTATGTGAAAGGCTTTGCCTTTTAGAAAGCTAAATACAATATGTTCAATGTTAAAGAATCTGCTTCGATGTGCTTCACATGATTACATGAATTAGACAACTGCATTAACATATATTATAACAAGGAATGGTCAGTATGGACAATTCCCTGAATTCCCCTGGAAACTCTCAATTATTTGTATTATACTATGGAACGGAAGGGGGGGGGGGAAAAAAAGATATAAGCATACGCAGTGTACACAAAAGGGGGGATATGCGAAAAGCGTACATGTGCGTACAAGGGGGAGGGAGGGTCTAAAAATGGCTCTCAAACTGCGTACGTACTATATGGATGACCCCTATCTATTGTTTTACGTCGATGTGAAGTTTCTGTCATTATGATTAGTCTCTGTTGGTTGTCGCCTGTAATTATATTCAATGTGTTGTGTAATAATAGTTAGTCTTGTCTTGAATCTGATTGAAAAACTCACACTCGACTTTTGACCAATTTTTAAGCTCGTCTTCCCATAAAATTGTATTTAAAACATGAGAGCGTAAAGGCAATGACTGTTCTTATTTTTTAAGGGTGTCGCAGTGCAATCGTTACTTATTGTGCTCAAAGGGAATGTTCTATCCCTAATTGCCAACAAAGTGAGTGATTAATTCTATATTTGCCATCAAGATTGCAAATTCAGAGACAAAGCATCCCTAGATGGCAAAGAACTTTTCGTTTTTGAGATGGAATTTTAAAAGGGGGTTTCGAAAAAATCGCGTTTTACAGTACCTTGGGATCAGCTTTTTGGTAATTTGTTCTTAAACTTTGATCAATTTTAAGACTTGTATTCTTAAAAAAGGTTTCTTATAAAAAAGAGAATGTAAATGCAACCAGAGATTGTTTTGTTTGAGAGTCACCAAGATCAACCATAAACAAAAGAGACTTACTGGTTATGTCTGTAGAATCGGGTATTTTTGAAAACCTAGATACCGAAATGCTTTTCAAGGTTATCTACTAATATTTATCTATCTTGTTTATCAATACACCGGCTCGTTTGTGACCCCCCCTCCCTTCAACCCCCCGCTCTGACTACGACACTGATTGGAAAAAATAAGTAGATTGATCTCAAGTTAAAAACCAATTACCTTTGCAGCAACAAATGATACAACCTGTAAGAAAAGCCAGGTACCTCGACTGAGTTCAGCTTGTATACGATCAGCATTAAGGATGCTGTTATAGGAAACGCTTAGGGCTGCCGTGGAGGGAGGGAGCCCGGGGGTCCTTGTTAAAATGCAGAGTTCCAAAGAAGCAAGCGTGTGTTGGGTCTGTTTGTTGGGCAAATTTATGCTGATATAGATTTTCTTGGACTTTTTGTCCTATCAGCCTTTTTGACTCGGTGAATAGCTTAAAAGATTTCATATACACAACAGAGAATTTTTAACACAAATGCAAGTATGTTTGGTGTGGTTATGGGGTGTGGCTTTTAGATCTTTCCTTCTTGTTTCCATTGGTGCATCCAAAAAACTCTACCATCACCAACACTTCATTCCTCCACAATTCCTCTCTAATCCTCGACTAAATCACGTCAAGTATGATAACCCGATGAAGTGGTTTTGGGGAGTAACCATTGAAGAAATTCGTGATTTGAAGGAAGGACTTACAAAGCTAGTAATGCTTGTTTATTAATTATTTCCAAGTGGCAGTTAACGAGAAATACTCTAGTAGCACAGTAGGGTTGGCTTGATTAAAAACAGCAAATGTCAAATATAGTTCGTGAGAAATTGCCAATCTATGTTATTGGTAAAGCAACAAAACCACGGTGCTTTCCAGGGATTAGAAGTCTGTCATGTCACTGCAGAGAACAGAAGATAAGTTGTATGGGTGACTTGCTTTTTGAAGACTGGGTGAGGGAAATGTAAAGAAAGTTTGAAGTGGGCATATATCCATAAATATAGTCAACAACTGGCTATTTATATTTCATAACGTAGAGCTTTCGATCTATGTTCTGACGCTTTATGCTCTGAAGAGCGGCAGGCAAAAAGCTTTAGCAACATGTATCAAATTTTTGCTTTTTTTAAAGCCATTTATTAAGTTTGAAGTAGAAAGAAGAAAAATTGCTGCTAATGTAGGCATCTGTCATTCATATCCTATTTCGTAGTATCTATCTTCTTACTTATCAATGTTTTTGTCAAGGCCCCCTGAAAAGCAGTTCTCGTGGACTGACGGGGCTACCCTGCCTAAATAATTAAAAATGTAG